TAACGCAGATTTTTGTTGTTTGACTTCTAAATTAGCAGTTTGTTTTTATTTCATATTCAACTTATAATTCAATACATCTGCATAATTTACTTTTGTTTCATAGTCTAACACAACATTCAAAACATCTGAATAGTTTACTTTCATTTCATATTCTATTCTAGGAACTCTCATAATGCATGTGATGAATTTAAGTCAGAAGTTTTTTGGCAGAACGATGTGGAAATAGATGGATCTATGCTTGCTCTGAAATAGAATGAACAAAATGGAAATCGATGTATACTGTCAAGAAGTGATTGGCGTAGATATTCTTGACCAAGCCTTATTTAGTTAAAATGGCATTAAGTTTTGGATGTATGAAACTGCAAAAGAAAATCCTACTGAATTTTAAAATGTTATTTTGAATGATGTTGTAGAGACAGTAGGTATTTTTTGAAGCAGGATAGATGAAAAATGAGCAATGCCCTTGCTGGGACTCAAAGCACGGACCTCTCGAATATGTGTCGCGCATGCTGACCACTACACCATGATGGCATGTTCCTCTCTTCTTTTCAAAATATTTTTTTTTTCTTGATGAAAAATTGCTTATGCCTGATCACCTTCATAACTTGAAGCAGAATTTTTTGCTCCTGACAAAGAAGAACATGAGCTTGATTGTCCTCGAAATCGACAGAGTTTTGATTAAAATCTATGCCAAACATAAGGTTGCCATTTGCTTGATTTTACACTAAATGTATGTTGTTAATAGCAAGGCTTGTGCTAAGTGTTCTACTTCATGGCACAATCTCCACAGCTCTTAAAATTTTATTACTCATTGCCTTCCTAAACTTTAAAAATTCTGTTGCTTGGTGCAACTGCAAAGATTCTGTCATCAGCCTGGGTTAATAACTTCATGAGGTTGTAGAGACATTAGGTATTTTTGAAAGCAGGAGAGATGAAAAATTATCAATGCCCTTACCGGGACTTGAACCATGGACGTCTCGAATACACGCCGAGTGTTCTTACCACTACACCATGAAAACAGGCTAAAAAAAAGGTGGGGAAAATACTTTATATACTCCCCTTTTAAAGGGCAACTGGGGATTAGGGGACCCAATCGCCAAATCCTGGTGGTGTAGAATCGTCATCCACCATCTTTTAGTTTGGGCTCCACCTTTAAAAACATTAGGTATTTTTTGAAAGCAAGAATCATGAAAAATAAGCAATGCCCTCACCGGGACTCAAACCAATGACCTCTTGAATATGCGTCGAGCTTGCTGACCACTACACTGTGAAGGCAGGCTAAGAAGGCGAGAGAAATACCTTATAATGTGATGATGTGAAAAATGGTACAGAATTAGTAACTTTTGTGTAAGAAGATTAATGTAATGTTTCTTTTAGTAAGAAGTATAGTCCAAACACTATTTTTTTTTAAATTTTTCTTAGAAGCTTAATGAGCATTATGGAAGATGTAATTATTATAATTCCCAAGATTATTATCATACTACAGAAAAATACATATCCAGTGGTGGGAATAATTTTAAAGCATGTAGTATGTAGTAGTAGCTATCAGTAAGTTAGTAGCTATCAATCTTATTATAAATCAAATTATCAATCTTATTATCATCAATACAAGAGATATTCAGTCAGTAAAAAATTACCCACCATGTGAATACTGGGAAAATGGAATAGATGTATGCTGTAGTTCTTTGGCTTCTGAAAGTTATAAAATATTGAAAAGAGAAGAAGCTTCAGTTTGTTGAGTGTTTGTGGAACACAAAGTGGAAATTCTTTCCTGATCTATATATGTATGAAATATGGATTATGATGTGACAGCTAAAAACTTGTTCAGCATTTTCATTGTTTTGAATAAATAAATCAAATTCAGTGTGATAACGTATTGTAACTCTCGATTTATTGATAAATATGCAGAGAATTCTAAAGGTTTTGCTAGTACTAAATTTGCAGATAAAGAATCAATCACTTCTACAGCCTTTGGTGAATCTGTATTTTGAGGAAGACAAAATAGAGTATTTCCAAAATAAATTAGAAATCATCAATAACTAATAATAATTTTTAATTTAGAAATCATCAATAACTAAGTACTTACAAATCACCTACAACTAACAGGCCACCTAGGCAAAGGTTTCCAAAAATTCCTGATGTCCTTTCTTCAGTTATCAATTTATGAGGAGGCTATAGAAGAGACAGTGGGTTTTCTCCTTACTGTAAAGTTATAAGGTATTTCTCCCACCTTCTCAGTGAACCGTCATGCTGTAGTGATATGCACACTCAGCATATTGAGAGGTCCGCAGTTCAATTCCTGGTAATTTTTCATCTTGCCTGCTTCCAAAAATACCTAATGCCGCTACAGTGGTGCCCGAACTAAAAGGTGGTGAATGGTGATTCTCCACCACCAGGATTTAGCGATTGGGTCTCCTAATCCCCTATCATCCTTTAAAAGGGGGAATATATAAATTATTTCTCCCACCTTTTTAGCATGCTTTCGTGGTGTAGTGGTCAGCACACTCGGCACGTAATTGAGAGATCTGCGGCTCAATTCCCGGCAAAAGCGTTGCTAATTTTTCATTCTGTCTGCTTCCAAAAATGCGAAATGTCTCTACAAAGTGTCCCGGAGGTCAGTGGTCTTTAGGATAGCTGAATCTGTAGGGTTTAAACATTAGCTATCCATTTATATTTCTGTTGAATTTCTGGGCATCATTATTTCTCTTACATCATCATCATTGTAAGAGAAAAATCACATGATGGAATTCTAAAGAAGTAACAGTTGGTTTTTATTTCATCTGTAAGAATGTGTGTTTATATTAGAATTATATTTCTCTTGAGTAAAAATAAATATTGTTATTAAAAAGAACTCAGCTGTACAATATTTGCTTTTGGGTGCTTTACTGAAGATAGAATATTAAATGAAATTAAGCTCATTCAGTTGTTTTCATTTTTGTGTTAGAATATGAAAGTAAAATAAGCTATTCAGATGTTTTGAATTTTGTGTTGTATTCTTCTCTGATAGTCGGTTAATTTAATTCCTACCCCACCCCGACCCCCAATTTTAAAATTAATTTACATTAAATTAACTTTGGTCCAAAATATCATATTTAGTAAGAGGTCTTGAGGAAAAATTTTTGGTTGAACCAGGTTTTCCAATAAGTTATTGCTTCTTAATAAATGGTGCAAGTTTCTATAATGGCAGTTCTTCCACTTTGTGTACACCACATGACTTTCTTGTATAGAATATTAAATTATATGCATTTTTTCCTGCATTTTATCTAAACTTATTTCCTCGAATTTCATTAGATATATATTTCTCATTAAGTTAATTCAGTTCTCAGTTCATGCCAATTCGAAATTATATAAAAACTCAAAATGTCTATATTAAAAATTGAAAGATGTAGAAAATATAAAACACCAAATACAGTTAAAACAATTTAAAAAAAAAAAACTTTTTTACAATTAAAATACAGTTTCTCCGCAAAAAGAAGCAATTCCGCCAGCGGGAAAGAAGGCAGATTTTTCAGTGCTCAAAACTGAAATTTTATGTTTGGTCTCACTGGGCAAAAAGACACTGAAGACATAGAAACTGACTTAATTTATTGTGGATGCTATGCTGAGTCAATATATGGGATAATTTAATAATGTAAATGGTAATTCCAGAATAGATTAAGCATAATTTACTTCACAATAGTAAAGGAAGGCATTACTTTCTTGTTGTGAAGCTTAGTTTCTTTAGGTTGGCAGTAAACCCACTATTCTGCTAAGTTTCAAGTGTAAACAAATATGGCAGCTACGGTTTAAAAAAAAAAAAAAAAAAAAAAAAAGGCTTAGCCGCACTTAAAGAACTTTTAAATTGTTGATAATTCTACAACTGTAACATGCAGGTTAACTAAAGGCATAAAAACCTTAACCGGAAGATAAGATCAACATAATTCAATCATTTTTATAAGCAAAAAATGCATAATTTACAAACATATAAGAATAAAGAAACTGAGCTCACTACTCGAGTAACAGAGTGGATATATGTATATAACGTATATTTATACACTTTTGGTGAGGCGGATTGCAAAAGGGAGGTGCACATGTATATGGTAGCAGTCCATATACAAAATGTCATCATTTTGAGGCTATTTGTTTTTCAGTTATGCGAGATACATACATAAGTACATATGCACAGATGTCACGAAAAAAATCTCTCCTGAATCCATTTTAAATCAGTTTTATAATTTGTTTGGAGAAAAAGAGTCCTTTATTCTGTCCTTATGTACAGATGTCACACAAAAACATCGTTAAAATCCATTCGATAGCAGTCAGAATGTATATTTTTGTTGAAACACAGTACCCAGAATTTTCTATTCATATTCAATACTTCCTTTACTTCATACAAGGAAGTAAAAAAGCAAAACAGAACAGTTAATAGATTTAATTAGTTAATAATTTTCTACAAAACGGTTGAAAAATTTAATTATTCGATGTTAAAAAAAACTTAGCTTTGTTTCTTTCTTTTTCTTTTTTTAAGAGTTTGGTACTTTTTTCATAGTTTATACCTTTATTAATGATCATAATTACAAGGCAAGTGATATTTTCTGAGATATTAATATTTATGTGTATATGCAGGCATTTGGAATGCTTTATAAAATTTTGGTAAACAGGTTATTTTTGGCTATAGTTAGTGCTGAACAAGCATAATTCTTAAGAAAAGCAAAAGTGTGTGTACTGTAAAATGCTATAAAAGCCAATAGTACTGGATTCTGAAAATGGAATTCTTCCCTTTTTAAGAAGCTTTTTTCAGAGTTTTGCTTCAATGTTATGAACCTTTTAATAAAAATAAAATTTTGTATTTTAAATCCATGCACATAATTCCTTTATGAATGCATAATTTAATTTTTAAACACATTACTAACAATCACTATTTGATTTATGTTGTTCAATATTCTGTAAATATCTACATTGGTGACAGTTTTCCAGCATGTGTAAAAAAGATGTGTATGTTTTACATATCTCTAATATAGGTCCTTGTCAGAGAAAATGAAAACTTCCAACTGTGAAGATGCTGTTAAACTCAGAGCAATGGGTATTTCTCTATTTTATCAGCAGTTAGAATCAATTGAAAAAAATATTGAATTTGTGGATGGATCATCTTTGTCTCGTCAGTTTTTTGCATCAACCATTGACACTCTAGGAAAAGTTAGTTTTATATTTTTTTATTTTAAAATGGTAATTTTTATTATTATTAATTTTATGTTATGTATGGTGAAATAGTAGTACTATAGCTTTTATTTTTTTAATTCTGTAAATATATTTGAGTTTAAAGAAATATCTTGAAGGTAGTACTTAGTTTGTTACTTAGTTATTAATTTTATTTATTGTCAGAAGCTTCAGTTCTATTTGAATGGTCAAACTATCTTCACAGTTCCAATATCATTTGACTCAGAATTAAATTTTCTGCAAAAGTATGCATGAAGAAAAAACACACAAATGCCATGCATATTCATACTTTTTGCCATTAAGTTTGTTAGTCTGTTGAATTGTAGAGAATGGATATCTCTTTAAATATATACAAAGTTATTATTGCTTAAAATTAATATGATGAAGTTTAAAGAGAGAGTTCTTTTGTTTCTTCATTAGTTAGTTGATTCTAGCACTTTGTTGCTTATTTCATTTATGTGATCAGTTTATTCCAAATTTTAAATAATAAGCTCTATTAGCATCATAAATACATTATTTCTTGAAAAGCAAAGAACTTTCCCCCCAAAAAATTCATCATTTCTTATCTTTTCAGAAACCATTAATGAAAAGGCAAAGCTTTATTTCTTATTCTCTTACTTTAAATTTAAGTTAGAATTTTATAAAATTCAAATGTTAGTGCTTTCTGGGAAAAAACTCACTAGATACTTAAAAAACTGTCCATACTTAAATTATTTTTTACATGTTCATTTCTGTAACATCCATGAGCATGAGTAAAATGTTTACTTTTGTTTTCTTTGTACACATCTATTTCTCATGCACTCAAAGTTTGCTTCTCTACATCATCCCTTTCTCGGGACTGCAATTTCTGAGAGCCACTGCATCTGATTGAGGTTCTCACCATGGATTCATTGAGCAACTAATTGACATGGATTCTTAAGAGATTTACAGCATCCTTGTCAATATGGCTTGAGATACTTCTGATAAACAAAATGAGCTTTCAGATTTCATACAAGAAAACATCAAAATTATCAATTAAAATGTCCTTAATTAGTGAATTAGATTTCCTTGACATTTTTCATAGTAATCTGTCTGCACAGTGAATAATTTAAATTCTAATCACCTTTTTTCTCGCTCATTATTTTACTTTTCACTGTTTGTATAGAGAAGGCTGTGGTTAGTTACAAGTAAGCTCTCAAAAATGAGTCTGTCTTTCTGTCTGTGATATTTTTCTTTTATTTAACTACATCTGAAAAAGGCAATAATGTTGAATCACTGAAAGCATTTCTGCTTTAAAAAAAAAACCTGTATCATTCAACATTGTTTTTCTTACACTCAAATCATGACTTATGCAATTAAAATGTAGGCAGCAGTTTTCATTCTGCTTGTACTTTGGTACATCTAGAAGGAAAACAGTTTTATGTAGGTTTTGTAACTAAAACCTTTCCCTTAATACCTTTAGGAACATAAAAATTCTGATGATTATCTGTTCAGTATTTTATGAATAAAGTTTCATACAAAGTGCCATAATTAAAAGTGCTAAATTCTGACGATGAATCTGTACGTGTTCTCTTGAAAATGCATTCTCATTTCTCATTTTATTTTTGCATGTATAATCTCTTTAATGTTTTGATAATTATACTTTTCAGATCTAAAGAGAAAATAAAAGCAGTGTTGAACGTATAATTTTTCTATTACAAAGAGTAATATTTAAACTTGACTAAGAAATTTCTGTATAATTTTCAATTCACTTATTTAAACTCATTATTCTGAGATATTTGAGCAATTTTATCAGTTTAATGAAATATTTTAGGAATTCATTGATGGTGAAGAAGATCAGTTATTAGACCTCGCCAAAGCAATATTGAAATTACCACAAGCTGGGTCTCTGGCATTTCATTTCTTTAAACCTAACGTAGCATCTGTCAAAGTGTTTATTGATGTATATACATTTTTATTGTCTTCTGTGATGAAGTATTCACCAAGTTCTGTGATAGTTCTATTTAGTAAGGTAAGAATATAGTATTAAAGAATACATTTTATGTTATGATGTATTTAAATAATGTATTTATTACTAATTCTTAGTTAGAAATTTGCTGTTTACTCTTAAATATGAACTATGTGGTTAATAAAACTTAATAATACAACAAACGTAATAGTTTATGCATGTAATAGTTTATCTCAGCTTAAAAATTAAATAAAAAGTAACACAATTAAGGCATTAAAATACATCTTATTGGTGTGAGCTTTTCATAGAAATTTTTCTTACAAGCTTTTTATAGCCAAACCAAGAAGCCAGTACAGCAGTGGCTTCCTGTTTTCTAATACTTAGAACTGCTACTTGATGAAGTATTCCTGGCAGACTATTTAAAATTTCTTTTGTCCTGCCTGGTATATTTTAAATTAACATTTTTAATGCTGTTTGATTAAATCTAATTAGATGTTATACTGCAATTCTTTACATTTTTGTGTGTAGATAATTTCTCATCTTTGTACTCTTAAAAACACAGGCAAAGGGTAAAAATTAAAGGTTTATAAAAAGTCTCCCCCCCCCCCCCGAGAAAACTAAAAATTTTATAAAAACTAGTAACTGCTACTTGTAAGGTCTCGAAAATTTAAATATGTATAGACAAAAAGTAACTTCCAATACTTTACAAAGCTAGCAGTAATAAATAGCCTTGCATGCTAACAAATATAAACTCATTCATCAAAACCCAAATTGGGACACAAGTAGATGTAGATAAAAAAATAATTTTGGGGGGGGGGACTGAATTGTCTGATTACCTTTTGTTCCTTCTCATCATTGATTTTAATTCTGCTTTAAATACATTGGTTATAATTAAAGTTATTCATTATAATTAAAGTTGCAATTTCAAAATGCTCTAACTTTAAAACTACTTGTCAGAATGATTTGATATTTTACTAGAACAATTGTGAGGCACTGGAATAGTGTTTGGAGAAGGAAAAAATTCATTTCAAAATATGGCGATAGATGGCGCTGTCAGGTTTCACATTGCTGTTGGTATGCAAATTACTAAGATGTAACATACGCACTGCAGGCATGGGTAAGATGAAATTGCAGAGCACTAATGACACACATAATATTGTGTCTGAGTGCTTCATCATGAATATGACGAAGAAGGATCATGCTCTTCCCATGAAACTTTTCTATCAGAAGGGTGGCTGTGTGTTAACAGCTATCAGGAAGTTCCAGTCATTAAAAGGCATAAAATTCAGCCTAGTCACCACATATGACCTGTGGAAAATGACAGATAAATTCGTGGAGGTCGGTTCATTTGACATGAAATGAGGTAGAAGACGAAAACCAGTTTCGGTGACAGCTGTGGAAAATCTAGCCATAGCTTTACAAGAACAGACAAACAGTGATGCAGGAATCAGCAGTGCCATTGGTAATTGGCCAAATGTTGGATATGTTTATCGGCACAGTGCATAAAGTCCTACGGAACATCTTGTGTTGTTTGTTATCCATATAAGATATCTCACGTGCAGCAGTTGCTACCTGCTGACCTGGAGACACTTGAATCGTTCGCACTACAATTTCTTGCCGGGATGGAAGTGGATAATGAATAGCCTTGGAACATTCTGTTGTCTGACGAAGCTCATTTCCATTTGCGAGGTTCTGTAAATACACAAAATTGCAGGATATGGGTGCCCAGAATTCGGTCTCACTACTACCATTACCTCTTCACTCTGAAAAGGTCACTCTGTGGTGGGGAATAATGGCAGCATATGTTGTCAGTCTGTTCTTCTTCGAAGAGATAACACCTGCAGATCCCCTTACCTGCAATGTTACTGGTAAGCAGTATGAAGAACTTTTGCATAACCATGTCCTTCCGGCTTTACAGCAAAGTGAATGTGTGGATCACATAATATTCATTCAAGATGGCGCTCCTCCGCACATTGCTACTTGTGTGAAGCAGCTACTGATTGCTCATTTTGAGGATGATAGCCATTTTCCAACAGTGTGGCCACCACACTTTCCCAACTTAACCCATATGACGTTTGGCTTTATGGATATCTGAAGAATGTTGTTTATAGTGGGCTGATTGTGAATGAGGCTGACTTAAAGGCAAGCATCATACATCACAGTCATAGCATCAGTACAGATTCCCTCCAATTTGTTATGGACCTTGCAGTTTTGTGCTTTCAATTAGCAGTGGAACAAGCAGGAGAGCATATTGAACAACGTATGCGTTAATCATCTGTAAGGTGTTTGTTCATGTCACTCTTGCTGTTTTCTCTGTAAATACATATTCTTCTTTTTTTGTTAATAAAAATGTTGTAAACCCTTGTAGTCTAGTGTTTCCTTTCGGCTATAAGTACATAACAGTAATATGGTCATTGACAGTGCTATATATCAACAAATTTTGAAACTATTTTATTCCCCTTCATCAAGCGAAATTCCATCACCTCAGGATTCCTCTGATAAAATATCAAGTCATTCTTACCTGTAGTTTTAAAGTTAGTGCGTTTTGAAATCGCAACCTTAATTATAATCACCCTGTACATGTATTTGCCTTAACAGTTCAGTGAATTTTAAAATTTGTGTATGTTTTATTTTATTTGCTTGTTTTATTTATTAATGTAGATTAATCTCTATTGCTGGTTAACTGAAAAGAAAGTTGGTTATTGTGATAGAAGAAATGTTTTCAAAGCAATTTGTGGTACTGTTCTGTTGCTTGACTCTAATCTCCCTGAGCAGCTTCTTCCTGTGTATTATGTAAGTTTTAACAAAATATTAATAATTAACAGAAATGTGAAAAATTGAAGTTCATAATTCATTTTATCTGTGGTAGTAATACAATACAAAGTCCGAGATCTGGACTTCCAGACCAGCACTTGGGGGGGGGGAATTGTATTCTAACAGTAACGTCTCATTGTAGCATATGCTTAATGCTTCATGCCTGTTGAAGAGACATTTTTTTCATAATAAAGTATGTGGAGGATTATGCTTTTTAATTTCTCTTTGGCACGAAATAAAACACCTCTGTGTTGAAGAAATACAATCATTTATTAGCATAAGTCCTTTTGATGAATAATTGGCTTTGGAGTATATCAAAAACCTAAACATTCCCTGTACACACGGAAGTTCATTGCTGATTGTAAAACTATTGAATAATCTCTAACCTTTACATCAATCTGGCAAAATTTTTTATTATTGCTTTTATCTCTATATAACTGTCAACCCATAGCAGCTTTACTCATGCAACAATGCCTGAAACATTTTTTTAAATATTATTAATTGAATATCAAACAGCATGGTAACCTTTTTATGTTGACATTATGCATGCCAACAATTACAGACTTAAGCAAAATGCTCTGTGAACTGTTGAGTGTATTGATGAGGAGAAATTAAACAGAAATTTGTTTCCATTTGCAAAAAATAGATTTTATAAATGATATTAATAAACAAATAATTACATTTAATGTTGTTTGATTAAGAGTAACTGATTTGTCCTTTCAGTAAGTATATTTGGGAATAAGCTTTAACCCCATGCAAGAAATAGATGTAATAAATAACTAAATAATATACTACTAATAATAAATAACTAGTATAAATTCAGGCTTAACTTCCTCAGTGTACGATTGAAGCAACATAAAATTTACCAGAACAACATGTCTTTAGTTACCAATCTCATTATGCGTTGCAAATAGTGTATAGTGAATGATAGCTAAGCTTTATGATCATAGGTGCGAATTTAAAAGTTTTCAGATAACACAAACAAAAAAATTTTCCAATTAATGGAATTTGTGAAGAAGGGTAATAAAAAACAGATGATGTAAAGAAGTTTCCCATGCCGATGACAGTGCCCCAATCATCAATCAACTAGTGGATGGTAAAATCTGCAGATTTAAAATGATGATCCGGAATCACATAGTCCCAAATTGTCTGGATATTGGACTTTGTACCGTATTATTACAGTCTATATAAGTAATATTTTAGTCATTTTATACAAAAAATAGGAAGTGTATGTCTTTGAAATTAACCTTTATAAGTAAATGAAGTGTTAATTTTATAATTGTTTGTTACAGTAATTGTATTTAGATTTTTAAAACATTAACATTTATTAAATATAGTTCTTATCTACTGCAAATATTTCTATTTTATTTGCTACATATTTGAATTTCTCTTGTTCTTAACACAGTATATAATATTGACAGTGAAAGTTTTGAAATAAAATTTACATACAGCATAAAATTGTGCTGCGAAAAGATGAACAAGATAGTATACCAATGGTGAAATTTTCCAATTAATGGATTTTGTAAAGAAATGCGGAGAAGCGGTAATAAAGGAAGATGATATAAGAGAAGTTTTTAATTGTGATGACAATGAACTAACAGGTAGCCAATCATTAATCTGTTAACAGATGGCAAAATCTTTAGTAAGGTTCTAGAACCAGAAAATCGGTAGTGGAAAGTGACAGAGAGGTTATTGAAAATGAAAAGATTTTGATTGCCGACTGATTCTTGATATGGTAATTACAGGATATGAATAATGGAACTTTGTAACTGAACAAGAAATTATATGTATGTATAGAGTTAAAGGGAAAGTATTTGCACAAAAAACGAAGCAACTAAAAAACAACTTAAAGAAAGAATTGATAAGAAATGTTTAAAAAAGTAAACAAATAAATATTAAGCTTTTTTTTTTGTGTGTTTGTGTATAAATTTTGATGCCTTTTATATCATAAATGCTTCATATTTCAAAAATCTTGATTTCATATTTTTTATTTTATAATTTCTACATGCTGTCTTATTAGATTTAAACTGATGATCTAATATCCAGAAAAATCCCAAATCCATAATCACCGAAGTCCCAATGAGTCCTTATCTCAGACTTTGTACTGTATGATTTACCAAGTTGATAATGAATAAGATGACTTTTTTTTAAATTTCAGACCTAAAATTTCTTCTGTTCATTTGTCGTTTTTAACATGAAGTCCATTTTTTATACCCTCAATCATCTGTAATTTTCATGTATATTACGCATTCTGCATTTCTTGAGCAAAACTTTTACTGTAGTTTTAGAAACTGAGCTCCAGAAACACTTATGTGTTTAGGTTTTCATTGCTTTGTCACAATGCTTTGTATTAAAAGAAATAAAAAGTATTTTATAATTTCATTTCATCAGACTTAATCTGACTTATTGTATTTAGATTCTGAAGAAGCATTACAGCATAATCTTGGATTACATGTTTCCGGAGCTTTACACAGATGCTGTAAAATTTCTGCTGAATGGTATTCTTTTGCTTTTCCCCCTCTTTTTTGTAACTCACTATTTTACACTTTTAAGCATCCTATGCATATTTTTTATTATGAAAAATGATGAGATATTAAGAAAACTGATGTTATGCTACACAAGAAAAGTAACTGTGTTACTTTTCTTGTCTTTATTGTGTAGCATAACATAAAAATATTAAATTTAATTAATTGCATGGCTTCTTAAACTTTTTTCAATAATGACCCCTTTTTATCCCTGAGATTTTTTTTTTTTTTTTTTTTTTTTTTTTTTTTTTTTTTTGTTGTGTGTGTGTGTGTGACCCCAGGACCCCATAATATTTATGAAAATTTTGTGGGACCGCCCATAAGCATTGTGCAAATTCGACACACATGTGAGTGAAACTGTCAAATTTTTTCACTTGTACTGTAATATACTATTGCAGTTTTAGATCATTAACTTTAATTTCTAATTTCAAGATAGAACAATGGGAAAATTTTAAATATTTAACAGACGAAATGACTATGTCAAATCTGGTAACTGTAAAATTTTTATAGTAAGTTAAAGAAATATCAAAACTACTGAAATTTTTGGCGACCCCCTGCTCTAGGTCCCGTGACCCCCATGGGGTTGCGATCCACAGTTTAAGAAACCATGTTTTACTGTATAAGTTTTGTGTACATTTTAAATATTACCTTATTTCATCATCTGTATGATGCATATTTATTCCCAAATAAACTTCATGAAAAGCAAGGTATGTGTTAGAATTCTCAGATTTTTCTGAATTGCCAGTTATTTTGAAATAATAATTGTTTCCAAATCAGTTATTTGAATCTGAATATTGTTGTTAGTAAATCAGTTCATTTATTAGAAAAATATTTGCTGAATAGCTTTCAGCATTTTATTTCATTATTTTTTCCCACAAAAAAGATTTTAAATTAAAGTCGTTTTTGTATTTGTGTAACTGAAATTGAGGGATGGTCTTGTAATCAGTGCCATATTAGAATTGAAGAAATACAGTGCGTTAATTTTTTGGTATTTTCAGATAACGAGACATTGTTTGGTGCCAAAATGTTAGTTCAGAGTCTTAACAAGAGATAGTAATGGAAACATTAATGATATGTACTGCTTTATAGAAGAAGAGCTGTTTTAAAAATCTAAGATGAGTATATAAAGAGAAATATAAAGGCTCACAAATAAGAATTTAGGTAATTATTTTAGTCAACAGTTGTGCAATGGTTCATTCTTAATTGCCATTAACAGAATTCTATGAATATGAGCTATTGACTGTAGTGAATACACCTAGTGAGTATCAGATGAGATGAACTTTTAAGCTAGCATCCACTCTTTAAATATTCTATCTTGTGGCGTTATTATTTTGATTTTTTAGCTTGTTTCGATGCTGTTTCTGTGTTTGATGGTTAAAATAATAATTTCATTTTGCAGTTTTCCAGATGCATTTTTTCAGTATGGATAATCCGTTTATCATGTGAGAATTTAATTGCAGCTGTTCTGGGCATTTAACTGCTGTCAAATCGTATAATCTATGTTAATTCATCCCCCCGATCACCTCAAAAAACTTCAGCTCAGTAAAAATGTAACTGAAAATCTCAGAAAATTACTAGATGAATGTTTATTCTTCATTCTCAGTGACGTCATTGCTTAACTACTCATGATGTAAAATAAATTGTTTATCACATTTGCCACTTTAGCACACTGTAGCAGCTGGGCTTCTGTAACCAGAAAATATCATTGTTTAATGAAAATTGTATTTAATTATTCGAAAAATTTCCCACTCTCCAGTTGGAGATGTTATAGGTCACTGTATAATTTGTATTTTTGAAACTTGATTTGAAATTTTTCGAAAATATTGTTATTTCAAAATCATGTTTTATTTTACTCTGGTGCAAACTTTTTTATTTATCACATGCATAATTTTATTTTGGTAATATTTCTCCTTCATTATAACTCAAGCTATTGAAAACTTAATTAGGTAGAAAACTTCATTTGCACTTTTTCAAAATGATTAAATATCCAAGTGTAACTTATGTAAAGGAAAATAATTTTCTAATGTTCTAAATTAAATTGTTGCACTCTGTACTTGTATTTTCTGGATGTATTCTTCGTTATAAAATAATGGTAGCCATTCATTTCCTGAACATACATTTCTTTTTCAGGTATGGAAAATACATCTAATAATTTGTGCCATGACATGTGGTACCAAACTCTTATCTGTTTGGGTTGTAAACGATTAAAAGAAAGCTCTTCTGTACAAGAAATTGAATGTGATGTTAAGAAGTTTGCACAAAATCTTCAATTACCTGCTGATCAACAGGTTTCATTTTTTAAAAATCAATAATTATAGTTAACTAATTAAAATAATGATATAAATATTATGTAATTAATAAAACAAAATTAATTTTAAAATGCTTTTATGTTACTGAGTAAAATCAAAAAGGAAAATTTTCTGAGAATAATCTCAAGTGCTGTTTTGTGAATGTGAAGCCAGAACTATGTTTTACATTGGATTTCTTTGGTATAAAACATGCTCAAAAATAAAATAAAATAAAATTAAAAAAAAAAAAAAAAAAAAAAAAGTTCTTTTGCGCATTATAGACATATTCGAGATCAAGTATGAACTTTTAAAAATGCACATTCTACTTTGTTTCATTTTTTATGTGTTGATTCTGAATGCTAATAAAAACAATATTAAATAAATATTATTCCTGTAATGTAGCAAGTGTTTTGATTTACTTTATCAGAGTTTCTTGAAATTAAATTCCTTTGAATTCTAGTTAAATGTTACATATTAGAAACAAAGCTGCTTTGCAGTTATTAAAAATTAAAAGCATTTGTTGTATTTTCTCTCTTTTTTTCAGTAATCTGTGAAATCTTGAAAGTACTTTATTTTTAAAAAACATTTTTTCCCAGTTCCGTTTAAGATACCAGGCTAATAAAGGGAAAACTAAATTCCACATGAAAGCAAAATTCAGTTGGATATGTGCTTTATAAGAATTTCAATTCATGTGTTGGGTGCAAATAAAATATTTAAAAAGAGAAAAAAGCTTTGTACTTCCTTATTAAATTGGCCACTACATGAGATTTTGGTAGTACAGTCAAAAGTCGTTAATCCGGACTCGTCAGGACTTCGGCGATTTCGGATTATCGATTTTTCCGGATTATAGATCATCAGTTTAAATCTGGTAAGATGGCATGCAGAAATTACAAAATTAAAAATATGAAACCATAATTTATGAAATAAAGAACAATTATGATCTAAAGAGTATCAAATTTTACAAAAAAAAAAAAAAAAAAAAAAAAAAAAAAAAAAGCGCTTAATATTTATTTGTTTACTTTATTAAACCTTTCTTTCAACGCGCGCATGCGTAAAGCATACATTACGCATAGTCGAAATTAGAAAATTGCAACCAGAAGACTATTTGAGGTGTACTCGTGATATTTATAATGACGAGGAATTTGATTTAAATCATATCAAAGACTGAATACATCGAGATGAAATACTACATTTAGTAAGGAATTATAAGCTGAATAAAATAAAAACATCTGCCCTGAAGATAAGGATAGTGCTGGCAGATAAACTTCCAGTTCATTGCGTGCCGCGATGTCCCCCCCCCCCCCCCCCCCCCCCCCCGCACAGCAGCGTGAAATTGATAAACAGATTTCGGAATGGTTAAGAAACAAAGGATATGCCTTTATCCATTTTTTGCAGCAATTCCACTTATTGTTTAATGGACTTCAAAACATACTTTCACTTTGTAGATCCTTTACATATTAGTAAATATACATCGGAAATTCTATTTGACATAATCAAAAGTTCAAGCTTACATTTATAAAATTGCTCTAACAGTCTGCAAAAAATAATAAGCCGGATCCAATTCAAAGATTAAGGAACAACACAATCTGCAACATTAAGTGAATTACGAGGGCTATCCAGAAAGTAGATTACGTTTTGGAATAAAAAAATAAACAAAGTATAGGAAACAAATTTTATTATATACAGATGAAAGCCACACTCAAATACTACTTTTCTACATAGTCACCATACAAATTAAGGCATTTATCGTAGCGATGTACGAGCTTGGAAATTCCTTCGTCGAAAAATTCGGCCGCCTGCGCCTTTAACCACTTCGTTACCTCTTCTTGCAGCTGTGCGTCGTCATCAAAACGCATTGATTGCAATTTCGTTTCACAGTTCACATGTTTCACCCATGTTTCGTCACCAGTAACGATGCGATCGAGTAAAGAGTCACCATCCTTATGGTAAGCGTCCAAAAAGTTCAACGCTGGCAGCCATTCGCTGATTTTTGTGGTCCTCTGTCAAGATTTTTGGAATCCATCTTGCACAAAACTTGTGGTAACCAAGCTTTTCGCTGATGATTTCGTGCAACAAACTTCGCGAAATTTGTGGAAAACTCAAAGAAAGTTCCGTTATTGTGAAATTTCGATTTTCACGGACTTTAGCATCGACTTTTTCGAGAAGTTCGGCGGTCACTATGCTGGGTCTCCCACTTCGATCTTCGTCGTGAACATTGGTTCGGCCATTTTGAAATCTTATGACCCACTGACGCACTCCACCTTCAGTGATAATGTTGTCCCCATACACTTCACGAAGCTGCCGATAGATTTCTATCGGTTTACAGTTTTTTGCAGTCAGAAACCTTATTACTGAGCGCACCTCGCAGCTCGCGGGATTTTCAATTAACGCAGACATTTCAAACCGTCACAGTATCTGAACGGAGCACAGCACGAACCTCTCACTAGCACGGCTAGATGCAGACTGAGCTGCGCAACGCTCTGACCCCAAGATGGCCGCGCTAGCCCCGCCCCTAGCGGACACAGACGGAAACGTAATCTACTTCCTGGATGGCCCTCGTAGATAACTTTAGCTTAGCTTATACCGTTCGTTATACATTAAACGCTCATGCACACACGCAAATTCACACATGCAAATGCACACATGCACATGCAAATGCACGCACGCGTAAACGCGACACATGCACAGAAAGTTTGTAGCTTTGAGGTCCGGATTATAGATCATTCTGGATTATGGGTGTCCGAATTAACGACTTTTGACTGTATTTAAAAACTGTGCGTTACAAATTTAGCAATTATGTTTGCTAATATAACAGTTATATGCAGTGGTCATTTTAATATGTACTAAAGTTGGTTATTAGGAAAATATATAACTGCAGATCTACTTTATTGTACTGATATTTCTAGGTATGAGTCAAATATATTAAAAGAATAGCTGGAAGATTCAGATATTTGTGTTTTAAGATAATGGGAATAATTTTATCAAATCTGATGGGGAAAATAGTTCAATAAAAGTAGCAGTAATTTCTCTGAATAATTTTGCAATTTCTTTCCGGTTTTATAAAAATATTTATAAAATTGGTTAAGATATGTCTTATGCTTAATTACTGTTTTTGATGTGGGAGAAAAATAATTGTATTTAATACAAAAATTGTGAGAATTAATTCTGCAGTTAACTGACAAAATGTTAAGAATGTTAAGTCCCTTTTTTTTTTCTCGCGGAAGGAAAAACATGTTTTTGTCAAAAAACTGGTAAGATGTATACTTGTTTTAAAACATGAAATCTGTTCAGTGGTGTCATGTGAAACTACTGCAGATGCAGAACTATTCAAGGATATGATTTTCCTGTGTCTTGAAGGCAAAGGATACAGAAAATAAATTTTATGAAATTGTAAATTAGAGAGTTTTATTATTTAAAATGGTAATTTATTATTTGCAGTGTAAGTTTATTGAAATTAATACTCTAGAGCAATACCTTTTTCTGGACTCTATCATTTCTAGCTCTGTCCATACCATATGATTAACATAATGTTGATGACATAACTTATTTGCAGGGGCCTAGCTAGGGAGGAGCAAGGGGGAACATCTGTTCCCAGGCGCAGCATCCATGGGGTGCCAAATTAAAGTTAAGACATTTTAGAATGAAAATGTTTTTCCTTTTTGCCAAACAGGAGGGGGCACAAAATTTTCAGTTGTTCCCATGCTCTGGAAGCCCTAGCTACGGCTCTGCTGATTTGGAACTTAAATGAAAATCTTCTCTTAATAAGCTGCATTATTGGATAACTGTAATTGTTCTTGAACAGGCACAATAAGAGTGCCAAAATGAATTGTGGCCACAAATGTCAATTGAAATAAAGAATATTTAATCTTCCTGGACTGTCAAGTTTGTTTTTCAATATGGATCAACATTCTATGCAATCAAAAATTCCTGCTGTTCGTTACTGATTAGCATCTGCGAAAATCAATATTTCTACATCTACACTATTATCATTACATCTAAGTTTGCTTAATTACATATGTATCAGCGTTTCCCAAACTTTTTTGACCACGGCCCGATACGAGATTTAAAATTTTTTCGTGACCCACCTTATGGGGGGGGGGACATTTATTTACAAAACAAATTCTATTTTTTAATAAAAATCAAAATTCAAGTTATTTGTTCGTTTATTTCATACACAAAAATTGCAAACTAGTTATATAACAAAAACATAAGTAATTAAAGACAATCCATTATCTTCATTTAAAACTTAACGTGAATAAAGTAAATTTTGTTTTACATATTTTGACCTTAATGCAAAGGAGGGTGTTGTTTTTCATCACATAGTAATTTCAAATTAGGACTTAATGATGTTAATTTTATTCTCAAATTAGGTTTGACATCCAATCTGTTTCAATACTTATTTTTTAAGTACACCAAGGCTGATTACACAGTTTCACATGTATAAGTGGTGACAAAAGGCATTAAAAATTGTATCACTCTTTCGCTTAGGCTTGGCTATTCCTTTTGACAGTGCAACCAAAAATTAATTACTGGTACAGTTTCAAACACATTTTTAAGATCAGTGTCGCATGAAATTTCAATTAAATTATCAACTTTTTGTTCACTAAGATTAAGCATTTCTTCCTTTTCAATATCGACAGAAAAATTATCTTTATTCACATATTTGAAAGGAATATCCAGAAAGTAATCTTTCAAACTATTTATTAGCTCTGAAAGATGTTCTTGAATTGAAACTGATAGTGTTTCAAGATGTAAATCTTCTTCATTCGTAGTTTGAATGGGTTTCAATAAATGTATGTAATGTTTCAAAAGATTTAAAATTTCCTTTTGAAAGTTATTTGCATAGAGTCATTTTTTTAAAATTATTGCAGCGATTTTTTCTGATACTTTGAAAATATTTAAACCAAAGCCTTGCAAATTTAAATTCAATTCATTGAATGTAGCAAATATGTCACACAAATAAGCTACTTTTATTAACCACTCGAAATCATGGAATCTATCCTTAAATGGAAAAATAGCATCTTTTTTAGATGGTGGGTGTTCATTCAGAAATACCAAGGCTTCATCTTTTAGCTCAAACAGACGTTTTAAAATGTTTCCTTTTGAAAGCCATCGGGAATTACAATACAAAAGGAGGTGTTTATGATCACTCCCCATTTCCTTGCATAATTTGATAAAAGTCTGCTATTTAATGGATGAGACTTTATGTAGTTTACAAACTTGACACATTCTTCCAAAGTCTAAATTTAAAGGCATTCGTTTTACCGCCAACACTTGTTTATGGATACTACAGTGCACCCATACACAATTAATTGCTAATTCTTGAATTTGTTTGAACAAACCTTTATGACAGCCTGCCATTGCACGTGCTCCGTCGCTACTTAGCTAGAGTTCGTATGGTCCTTAAGAGTCCTTAAAAATCCTTAAGTTTTTTGGAATCGATTTCCTTAAAAGTCCTTAATTTTGTTCAAAAGTGGCAGAAGGTCCTTAATTTTAATCATCTGAAATTTCTGTCTGTTTTTACGACTGCCATTTTGAGTGTGAATTAGCATTTTGGAGGAATATTTTTGGGAATTCACTGACAAATATGGCTATTTTTTGAATGGGTTCATGAGTTATAATTTTTTTCCTATTTGTAATATAAATAATGGTGGGATACTCAAGTTTCTGAACAAGAAGTGAAAAGCATTTCAAAATTATTCAATTTTTTGCAATGAAGAGCTCTCAAAGAAGTTTCTGCTTTTGGGGATGTGAATTCTTTTATTAAACGGTTCTAAATTTGGCGATTTTAAGATCGGTTTCTATAGAAAATTTTTAATTCCGAGATCTGGGAATTTTTTCACGATTTTTTAGAACATTCTAAAATTGTTAAATTTCATTAAAATAATGGTAATATATTGGAATTATATTTAAGAAATAACATTAAAATAAAGCATTTTTATTTTTCTTTGTTATATTATAAAGTTCCATTTTGGCCCCATATTGTACAATTTTTTGAATCTGAAAAATAAGCAAGGAATAATGCTATAAAGCACAGTTTAAAAAACAGTTTTTAGCAAAAGTAAAATAGCTATGTAATTAATTAAATATGTCTTTTTAATTTTTTCATGGTAAGAATTTTTCCCATTTCTCAGAATGATCAGAATTCTCAGTAAATGCATCAGTTTTCTCTATAAAATTAATTTCACACTTTTTTCCTCTGATTTTTTTTAAAAACATATCTGGCTTTTTGCTGTTACAGAATTGGTAGGGGTAATTTTCCTTTGGGATTTTAGACATTGAAGCTTGGAAAGTTTAGAAAGATTTTAAGGCAAATTTATAGACCCACGATTCTAAACGATTCCAGAAAAATGTGATAAAATGAAGTTTTCTGGGGTGTAAGACAAGTATGTTTCTGACTTCCACTTGCTCCCTGCATTAGTCAGACAGACACAGACAGACAAAGTAGACAGATGTCTTGTTTTGCACCCGCTAAGTCTTTAGCTTGATAATTTGTAATTATTAGTCTTTCCATTACTGCTGCTGACATTTGAGTTTATTATGATAATAAAGTTACTGAAGCAGATTAAATTTTGTAGTCTTTGACCACTAGTCCATATTTTTAGTTTGAATTTGACTCTTCTTGTTTAATTATATCACCACAAACTGTAAATGATTTTGTTAGCATAAGAACAGGCCTATATGTTCCAAGTTCTTTTTGAATAAGAAGCTTATTTAAACCTTTATTTAAATTTGTTATCTGATTTATAGTTACTTTCAGACATAGTGATAACTTGTTTCACGTCTGTGTGTGTGGGGGGGGGGGGTCCCAATTAACCAAAATGTCTGGGAAGGTTTTGTTGAGTTTTATGTTTTGTAGCTTTTAATGTGTAATTATTCTAATATTGTTTAAAAATCAATGTTAAAATTGCATGTATTTTAAACTGTGTAATTTTGTGAGGTTGTGATAATAATAAAGGTTTTTTAAAAAAATCAAATATTAAAAAATAGATTTAATTTAATAGTGGCCATGCAAATCCATAATGACTAAGGTTATCTAATTACCTAATTTAATTATAACTAAATGCATTTCTAAAAAATTATCTCTCTATATTAAAGCAAGTTATTGCCTTTCGTTAATACGCTAAGCCCGGCGTAAGCCCCTGGGGACTGGCACTGGAATTTTCGTTTGGATGGCATCGGGACCAACAGTATTAATAAAAAATTAGTATAGTCTCAATGAAAAGACGAAGTTAAAAAATAAGTATAGTCTCAATGAAATGTGATCAAATGTAGTTTTAATGAAATTTATTGAAACATTCTAAACAAAAATAGGGCTTAGCTTTACACATATTACAATACGAGACAACTATTTTGGTAAAATTTTTGGCTATCTTGCATCCAAATAGTTTTGAATTGTCATCATAACATTTCGAACAATACTTTCGGACTTTATATGCGTCTCTTTCCTTTTTGTATAATTTATGAATAATTTAAGTCGGCAATATTGCACCACTTGATCGTAATATTGCCACCGGCTGAACAGAAAGGACAACAAATTCGGCGCCGGGCTCAACGTGTTAAACCTTTACCGTGGTCTCAATGTAAAACACAAAAATATAAAAATTCATGTGAAACTTCTTCTTTGCATCTAAGTGTGACTTATTATGCAACTAACAACTTATGACGGTGATAAGTTGCTTTTGCATTAGTGGACTTAATGGCAAACCAAATTAAATGCTATGCTTTAGTGGCTAATAGAACTTAAATTATATTAACTGAGTTACAACCCCTGGAACTCTACACGAAGTTATGACACTAACAGCGTCAGACAGTGGTTAGCTAACTTTCAAACTTTGCTAACTGTGCCTACATCAGGCCTTTCAGGTTTGTTCTGATTAGCAGGTCTCTCTATAGGCGAGCAGGAGCGGTGACAACAGCCAGTCTTTTGTTATGAATCATGCTGGTTATGATTTTAATGATCATTTTAACCTATGCTGCTTGACATAAATTCTACTTACTATTTACTAAACCGTTTAGACTGAGCAAGTATGTGGCAAAATGAGACATTAAAAAAAAAAACTGCTAACTGTTAGTAAAATGTCAAAATGTCACTTATCTTCTTTCAGATTGTCCAGTTATTATGAATGTAAAATATTTAATGCTACTTGATAAATTTCATAAAATGAATTTTTTTTTCAAAATATTAATAATTTTGTTAATTAAGTTATATTTAATAATAATGCAAGCTACTCATGTTCAGACATAGATATAATATTTTTAATTGAATTTATTCAGTTCCATTTGCTCATAGGTCCTTAATTTTTTTCATTAATGGTCCTTAAAAGTCCTTAAAAGTACTTAATTTCCTTGTGCAGAAATGTGTACAAACCCTGTTAGCACAACACACTTTATCCAATCAATACCGTGACTAGTGGCAAAATCATTGGTAGCCTTAAAAATTTCATCTGAAGTTGTTCTTGTCGGTAGCCTTTTACAAAACAAAAAATTTTCTTGTATGGTGTTTACGTCAATATATCTGATAAAACACATTAGATTTGCATTATCCTCGATATCTGTGCTTTCATCTATTTGCAAGGAAAAAAACTTGCTCTTTTTTACCTGAGCAACTAGTTCTTCTTCTAAATGTTTCGCACAATCACCAGTTCTCCGTTTAACTGTATTATTTGATAATGGTATCGCTGAAAATAAACATTTTCCCTTTATTCTGCATAAATTCTTTTCGACAATTTTCAAAGTGGGAAGTATTAATTTTTCTCCAGCACTATGAGAATACCCAATTTCAGCTATTAATTTGGAAATTTCAAAAGATGCCAAAGTGAGGTAAGAGTGGTGGTGGTGGTTTTTTTTTTTTTTTTTTTTTTTTTTTTTTTTTTGAGCAGCAATCAATTTATTTTTCTTATCAGTAAAAAGGTTTATTGGCTTATCAGAGTACTCAGAATAGAGTGTGTTTAAATGCCGTTTCAACTTTGACCGTTTCATACTTTCATTTGAAAGTTGCTCATTGCAAATAACACATAGCGGCAAATTATTTTGACTGCCTCCGGCAATGAATCCAAAGTGTAAATATTCGTCACAAAGTTGTGAGTCCAAGTAGCTTTACGCTTGTTATTTTGACGCTGTATATCTGCTTTAGGTGTGCTTCAGGTACAGTTTCTTCACGATCATGATGTTCAGCTTTGCTCGTGCTTGGTTGATCATCATCATATAAGTCTGTGGTTTTCTTGACTAACCATTTATCCATTTTAAAAAAGGTTGAAAGCGTTAATAAAAAGAATTTGTTTATTAATGATTTATAAGAAAAAGTATTTTTATTACTTACAAATATGAAGTTGCTATTAATAATAGGTGATAATAATTATTGTCAAATAAAATAGGTAACAAAAATTCAAACATAACCTTGTTATGATATACGTGAGTTTACGGCTCATGTACCGGAGAAGACATTGAATGACGAATCGAAATCAGCCAATCAGAGCATCGGAATTTAAACAGTCTGTTAGGAAACGGTGGTAAAGGGTTGCCACCTACAGTACTTGAAAAAATTTTAAAAAATATTAAATTTAGAGCAAATTTTTATAGATTGTGTTTTTACAATTTTTGCCACAACCCAGCTGAATTTTTCTGCGACCCACACTTTGGGAAATGCTGTTATATATATATATAAATTTGTGTGTGTGTTTATTTAATTAATTACTCTTTTCTTGTATATATATATGCATGTATATATATATATATATATAATATAATTTCATTCTCTTTCTAGATGCATCAATCTACTCAGTTACTAAATATCAGCCAGGTTGGTCATTTTTATCAATATTCAAAACCTTTTTGGTTTCCTAATTGTTTTTTCATATGTAAATCTATTTTGCATTTAAATTAATGTTTATCATTTAGGTGAAAGAAACAATGGAATTTTTTCAAAACTGGTTTACAGGAAAAAGAAAGTCAAATTCCAATTTGTATAAAAAATATGAAAAATGTGTAAAGCCAGTTGGGATATTCTTAGCAATTCTGTCAAATTCCTTACTGAGTCTTTTATTAAGTGAAGATTCAAAAGGTGTACAAAGTAAGTAATATTAATGCACTACTGAGAGTATATAAGTGACATTTTTGAATTTATAACTTAATAAGTGTTTTACATTGAATATGTTGCATTATGTAATTCTTGTCTCTTACTATTTTAGTGATGTGTTAGAAATAATTTGTTTTGTTATTTTTTTCTCTTTTTCTGCTAATAATTAACTTTTCTAACAATTGGGTTTATTTATTTTTTAATTTATTAGTTTGACTCATTGCAAATTAAACTGATTGGAAACTTTTATTCATAATCATGAACAGCACTAAAAACTTATACAGAAAAAAACTACAGACTTCCACCTTCAGCACACCCAACACCAACACATGGTGAACGAACAATCACATGGTCAACAACACTCTTTAGTCAATGTTACAGTTACATAAAAAAAAAAAAAAAAAAAAAACACAAACAAAAAAAAAAAAAAAAAAAAAAAAAAAAAAAATTCACGCACTTATTTTAAAAAATTGAATACACATTATTACAGTTATTAGCAATGACAAATAATTATTACACTTTTCTTTCATAATTTAAATTGATTTTTTACCAATTTCTGAGCTATCACCAGGCCACTGAAATGCTAAGTTCAAATCCAAATTCCAAATTCTTTAGTTACATAAGTATATGTATATTAACCAGATTATAAGAGTTTATGAAATTCATTTATATGAAAATAGGTATTGTTCATATACACTGCCCCCAAAAAGGGGGGGGACAGTTCTATATCTCCAGTTCTACTGGGCTGATTGCCGAAATTTAAGTTGCGTTTTTAATGTCTCGAAAGTGCGATTTAGGATATATATTAGATTTATATATAGCACTATTCCAACATAGGTATTTTGACACAAATTCGGACTTTCTCTGAAATAACATACCAATTGTTTTTACATATTTCGATTCTACGACTCAAATTATGCCTAAATATTAAATGTAAAATTTGGTCTGAAATTTACAGAGAAATTTAAAAATTTATTTTGCCACTTTTTTTCAATTTGTGCCAGGAATAGTTCACTTGACGAACTTCTTAATATATGCAACCTATTTTCCTTTCCCTTTTTACATTATGCATTAGTGGAAAAAAAGTCACATTGTTCCTTCTTTCAAATAATATTCTTTATATTGTATTTTTAATTGTAAATACAATATAAAGAATTATATACAATATATAGAATTGTTATTATTTTAAATATTTTTTTTTTCTTTTTCAAGTTTTATTTTAATTGTTTAAGTTGCATGATTTCTTTTAAATAACTGCTTTAAAAATTTCTATTTACTCATTCAAACTGCATAGTTTAAATAAAAGTTGCATCGTTTATTCATTTTTTTTTCAAATACAGTCAAAAGTCGTTAATCCGGACTCATCGGTATTTTGCCAATTCCAGATTATCGATTTTTCCGGATTATAGGTAATCGTTTTAAATTTGGTAAGATGGCATGCAGAAATTATAAAATTAAAAATATGAAACAGTAATTTATGAAATAAAGAATAATTATGATCTAAAAGGTATCAAAATTTACAAAAAAAAAAAAAAAAAAAAAAAAAAAAAAAAAAAAAAAAAAAAAAAGAAAAAGAAAAAAAAGAAAAAAAGAAAAGAAAGCCTTAATATTTATTTGTTTACTTTATTAAACATTTCTTTCAATGTAAGTTGTTTAAGTTGCTTCGTTTTATGTGATAATACTTTCTCTTTAATTCTGTAAACAGACATAATTTCTTGTTATGTTACAAAGTTACGCTGTTCAAGTCCTATAATTGCTGTGTCGAGAGTACCGACTAATTTGTCAATCGAAATTTTTTCATTTTCAATAACATCTGTGTCACTTTCTTCACTATCGGAAGCGAATTATAATGACGATGAAGTTGATTTAAATCATATCAAAGACGAAGTACATTGAGATGAAATACTACATTTAGTAAGGAATTATAAGAAAAATAAAATAAAAACATCTGCCCTGAAGATAAGGATAGTGCTGACAGATCAACTTCCAATTCATTGCATGCTGTGGCGTCCCCCCCCTACTGCCGCAGAGCAGCGGGAAATTGATAAACAGATTTCGGGATGGTTAAAGAAACAAAGAATATGCCTTTATACATTTTTTGCAGCAATTCCACTTTTTGTTTGATGGACATCGAAACATACTTTCGCTTTGTAGATCCTTTGAGAGCTCCTTTGCATCCTTTGGAAAATTCTATTTGACATAATCGAAAGTTTACTTTTATAAAATTGCTCTAACAATCTGCAAAAAATAATAAGCTGGATCCAATTTGAAGATTAAGGAACAACGCAATCTGCAACATTAACTGAAATAGATAATTAGATAATTTTAGCTTATACCGTCCGTTATACATTAAACGTGCATGCATAAACGTATTATGTGCATGCGCACACGCATATGTGCAGCCGTAAAGCTCTTACGCGCGTGTGTAAACGTCTATGCAAATGCATCAACGCTATGCATGCATAGAAAGTTCGTAGCTTTGAGGTCCGGATTATAGATCATTCCGGATTATGGGTATCCGAATTAATGACTTTTGACTGTAGTTTCCTTTATACTATATTTTTAGTTATTATTTTAAGTAATTTTTAGATTTTTATTTTAATTGTTTGTGGTGCATTGTGTGTTCAGATAATTGTTTTAAAATTTTCTATTTATTTGTATCGTTATTCAGATAATTGTTTAAAATTTTCTATTTATTTGTACTGCACATTTTAAATGTATTTATTAATATAAATTTTCCAGAATTTGATTTTATTTTTAATTTATTTAGATTTATTGCGTTTCTTACGATTTTAAGACTACTTTGCGACTCAGGACTATGATGCATTTGAAAACTGCATGTATTAAAAGAGAAAGTACAGTTAACCCGTTCACACCTTTCAATGGGCCATTTCAGAAAAGTTATATGTTTAGATGTTAAAACCTTTCAATAAATAAGAGAGATGTATAAGCTGACATTTTAACTTAGGGATGAACTTGCCTACATTGCTTTAAACAGTTTTATCAATTGTGGCCATCGCTTTACACAAGTTTTAATCAATCCTACATTTAGTTTTCTTAATATTTTCAGTATTTTATATTCATATTTTAGTCAAATATTTTTGAAATAGGAAGAATCAAATATCATAAATTTTTAAAAAAATACTAAATTTTATGCAAAAATTTATTTTTTCTTTTAATAGCTTGCTCTTTTTCTTCAGGCATTCTGCAAGTATATTAAAAAGCATCTAACTTTTTCAAACATCGTGATATTTCTGACATTAATTTTAGATAAAGTTATTGCCTTCCATTTCAAAAGGGCCCACAAACAGCCATGCGGTAAAGTCGCTGAACAGTGGTAGTTTGCTCAGGAGTTTGAATACTGGTGAACAGGCTGGTTGCATGGGCGTATTCATGGTGTCTCTCATATGTAACGTATATACAAGCTGGTTTCACTTAGAATGTGCTTCACGAAGGCATCCCTCCTTTTAGGCAGATAGCCTTGCTTTGTCATAACTTAATAATTCAATTCAATCTATTTTAACAGTATTTGGTCAGAGCCTTTATCAATCGTTAGAAGCTAGGCATTTTGAAGCCATGAGATGAAAGAAAGACTGGTTTCATCAAGAGGGAAAATGCCCTTAGATGTTATCCATATACGTCATTAAATAAATTCCTGCTTTTTCAAGTAATTCGACTGAGAAATCATTGGATGCTTTGTTTACGATACAGTATGATGTTCTATGATGTAATTTAAATTTCTACAACCATATAGTCGAAAGCCAGTTGCTCTTCACTTTAATCTACAATGAGATAGTTTTTGTCTTTTCCATTAGCATAAACTCAATTGCTGTTATTAGCTGGGGTACACGTCCAAGTGTTTTCTCTTCGAACACCCAACTTCCTTGAAATAGACTCCCCTTTAAATTTTTTCTTCCCCCCCCCAATTTCCCTCTTTCTTTCTACATTTATTTTCAGTGATTACAACACAAGGGCATTTCAATGATTACTGCAGGGTTGCCACACTACCTGGAAAACCGGAAAAAGTCAGGGAATTCGGAAAGTGACCAAAAAATTCAGGGAAAAGTCAGGGAATTTCATACAACGATCCCGCCAAAAAAGGCGAGTTTTGCGCCGACGTCGGAAGATATCACTTTTTTGGTGAATTGTGTATGACGTGAGTGTCATTCGGGCAGCTGGCATAGAGCCAATTTTCGCAGCTCCAATTTGATTGTCTTTTTAGAAAAAGCAAGTTTCCCGCAACTTTTGGTTTCCAGTAACCTTGAGAATCGCACGTGCAGTGCATGAACTAAAGAAAGTACCTTTTTTCGTATAAAAATCCTAGTATACGGTACCATGAAGGTTAGAATCAAAAAATATGTATTGTAAAGAAGGAAAACCTCTCTGCAACAGACGTGACTCCATTCCATCATAGCGAGAAACAACTGTGCATGCGCGATATATCTGTCGCCAAAGCTCGAAACTGGTGTCGAAGTTCGAAGGTCACGTTATCAAGAGTTCATAAAATGAATATCGTTTAAAATTTCTTTAAACTCTAAAGTAAATTAATTCACGGATTAGTTATTTTAAGGGGAGGGAATCTACGAAAATCCGTTTTTAAAATTATTGCGAAAAAATCCAAGAAAAAACGTTCTTTGATAAAGCGTTTCTTCTTTAATTTTTTGCAATAATTTAAAAACGGATTTTCGTAGTTTTCTTTTTTGTCAAAGAACATTTCTTCTTAACACGTGTTGCTCAATTTCCTGTACAAATCGCGGAGAGGGAAATTCTGGCCGCCAGGTTCCGTCGCCAAATCCCTTGGCAAATTTTCCCTCCGCTTTTTTACATAGACGTTCTTTGGTTAGAATAATCTCCATGTATGGTACAGCGGGATTTGGCAACATGATGATGAGCAGTAAACGGGTCATTTTGTTCTTGGCGACAATTTTTAAAATCATGCGAAGGCCATCGTATACTAGGATTTTACCGCAAAATCTTTTTTTTTTTTTTCCTTT